AAATCTTTATTACCTTAATCACAGGAACTTCTCCACCAAACATAAGAACAACACTCATCTGAAGCAAAATCCTAAAAGTATCACGAATATTATTAGCATTAAACTCCTTAAAACTCTCAGCACAATCTCCACCTTGTAACAAAAAAGCTTTCCCCAATGCAGCCTCACCAAGCTTCTTCTCCAAACTCCTTGCTTCACCAGCAAACACAAGGGGTGGGTTTGATTCAAGAATCTTAAGCACAATTTCAAGATTTTCTTCATTTGGGTATTCAGGAAGTTGCAGAGCCTTCTTGTTTTTCCAACTTCCAATACTCCATTTTTCTTGCTCCGCCGCCGCGTGTACGGCGGAGATGCGGTGGCGCCGCCCATATCGGTGGTCGGGAAAAAGGGAGAAATGGGGCTGACATGAAGAAAAGTTAACTAGGGATTTGGCTGCTGACAATGAAAAGGTATTTGGTAAAGCCATTTTTTTAATTAAAAAAAATAAAATTACATGCATATTTTAAAATCTACATAATTTCTAAAATAGGAAATTAAAATATACTTCAAGTAAAATATAAGAAATTTTACATCCTTGATTACACTTTCCTAAATTAGAAAATTTCCTTCCTCTAGTGATTATACGTACTAGTAATATAGTAATTATTACTCACCTTCACTTTCATTATATTAAATATAAATATTTATGTTTATTTATTCTGTTTGAAAATTTACTTAATAATTAATCTTTTATTATTGACTATAGTTATAATACTTCCATACAATTTAGCATAGACTTGGCTACCTTTTGATACTTGCATAAATTTAGCAATACACAATGTATTGATTATATAGTTGTTACTTTTAGTGTCCGCATAAATAATATTTGTATAAGTTATACATGAATATGCGTTTTAGTCTTAGGCGAGACAAAAGGTGAAATACAAATACAAAAATTAATACTAAATTTTATGTATTAAGTAATTAAAATGGCCAAATTAACTATCATGTATTAAACATTTTGAAAATAAGTAAATAAAACAATTCTTGTAATAATTGCATTTATATATTATTAATCTCAAACATTACAATTTTTACACCATCAATCTCTACAATACACATTAATTTATGCACAATTTATCTTTAATCCAAATGATCCATGAAGGTGGTAATCTTCTAAATTGCATGAACTTGTTTGCAATCTCTATGTCCAATGGTCATTGGATATAGATTTGGACTTGTTATATGTTAAAATATTTGCACTCGATCTTTATATCAAATTAGACAAAAATAATTATAAGTAATAAATATCAAATTTTAAGAGCAATATTAAAATTCAAATTAATATATTACCTAACCCTAATCAATACATCTAGCTTACCTTGCTCGCACGTTCAAGTATGCAAACATCTTTATCATTTTATTATATTTTTCTATCCAATAAAAACATTCATCGATAAAATAAAATTGTGTGATATTCAGGTATTTGGTGTTACAGATGCAAAGCCTGTCATCAAAGTATTATGTCGAACCAAGGTCATATGCTATAAGGCCTTAGTTCGATGTGAAAACTTAACAACAAGTCTTGCATATATAACACCAAAGTTCGATTCACACAACTTTATTTATTAATGAATGTTTTCTCTAAGCACCATAAAGGGGGAAACAATTGAAAATGAAGCTATTTTTCAATGTGATTTTGTCAGAAACTAAAAATATGTCAATCGAATTTATAGGAGAAAAAACACACGTTAAAAAGGTAAGTTGTTGTAAACCTAAAATCAAGCAAGGTAAGCAAGTTATATATATTAATTAAGGTCAAAGATATGGGCGTAACCGACAAAAATAAAGTCAAACCATAGATTAATTAACAATCATGATTAAGGTCAAAGATATGAGCGTAACCGACAAAAATAAAGTCAAATCATTAATTAATTAATAATCATATACGTTTAAACACGTGTATAGTATCTAGACAATTTTGGTCAATACTAAGAAACTCAAAAGATAGACAAAAAAGAGCATGATTCAAATTTTTAGTAAGTGATTGAAAGGGAAGCAACTGGACTAGACTAATTATCTCCATCAATAACCCTATAAAGTTAGTGCTATATATTTTTGGGACTTTTTTTTTTGTGCAAAAACCGAAAGTTTGGGGATTATATTGGCTCATTAAGAAAGTTAAAGGTATTATAATGTCTTTTGACTTTTAAAAATGGGATTTTTTAACTTTGAATTTTATTTTTTAAATATATCAATTTTGAATTGGATATCAAATTTAGCACTACGAATTTTTAGATATCCGAAAATTTAATATATCTATACCTTATATTCAATCTACCCATATCAAATACTAATAAGTTATATTTACAAAGACCCGATAGATTTATATCCTATGACCCTAGTTATTATAATATTAAGTCCAATAAGAAAATTCACGATATGAGTGTCATAGTGACCTCAATCGTTGTTAATCGTAGAAATTATAGATTTACATTTACTTGTGTCCGTCTGAAAAATTACAATATAATTTATCTCTTGGTTTCTAATTTATTATTCTTATTATTAACTATATTTATTTCTTAAAATGCATTTTTCAAAACATTATATTTTTATATTCAAAGAGTGATACAATACAAATTGTCATTTTATTTATTGTTCCTTAAGGATGTGTTATATTAATACTACTGCAAAAGTAAAAATAAATAAGAAAATAATTTTGAATTTTCTAAATTTGTGCCTCGGACAATTGATAATGTATTCTTGACAATAATTGTGTGAGGCTTCTTTTTAACTCACAAGCATGTGAAATCAAATCAACATTGGTTGTGGTGTAGTGATGAGATTGTTCCACTCTTAATCAGATGTTTTAGATTCGAGCACTGGTATGGAGAAAATCTTGTTGGGAGCATCACCCCCGAATGAGTCCTACAATATGCGATTCAAATTTAATCAGAGCTCCAACATAGACTCCGAACACCAGAGGAAAAATAAAAGAAAATAATGTGAAATCCAAACCTCACACCTCTACGTATATAGACTTTAAGTCTCACCTTTTAACTTATCTAGTTTGGGTCATAATCAAATTTTTTTAGCTATATCGTTATAACAAAAGAGACATTTAGTGATACTAGATTTTTTTTAATCATATTATATTATTTTCAATAAAAATAATATATCACTGTAAAATAATTGTTGCAAGATTTTTTATTTGTGGCAGTAAATTAGTATTTGGGATAAAAATATAATGTTATACACCTAAGGACTTGTTTGATTAAGAATATAAAATGTTATATTACTTTCATACAATTTCACATTAGTGATACTATGCTTGGCTACCTTTTGATACTTGCATAAGTTTAGCAATACATAATATATTAATTATATATGGTTATTACTTTTAGTGTCCGCATAAATAATATTTATACAAATTATATAAGAATACGCGTTTTAATCTTTAGGCGACACAAAGGTGAAATACAAATACAAAAATTAATAAAGTTTATGTATTAAGTAATCAAAATGGCCAAATTATCTCTCATGTATTAAACATTTTGAAAATGAGCAAACAAAACAATTCTTATAATAATTACAATTTATATATTATTAATCTCAAACATTACAATTTTTACATCATCAATCTCTATAAGACATATTAATTTTTGCACAATTTATCTTTACTCCAAATGATCCTTGAAGGTTCCATGAAGGTAGTAATCTCCTAAATTGCATGAACTTGTTTGCTATCTGCATATTCGATCTTTATATCAAATTAGACAATAATAATTATAAAAGTAATAGATATCAAATTTTAAGAGCAATATTAAAATACAAATTCAATATTACCCTAACCCTAATCAATACATCTAGCTTACCTTGCTCGCATTTTCAAGTATACAAACACCGTTATCGTTTTATATATTTTTCTATTATGTAATTTTGATAATATTTTTCAAGTTTTGGTTAAATCAATAAAGTAAAGAAGTACTTACTCTATAAATCTTCTATTGTTGCCCCTATAAAAAGCATCCATTGATAAAATAAAATTGTGTGATATTCAAGTATTTGGTGTTATAGGTGCACAATATGTCATCAAAATATTATGTCGAACCAAGGTCATATACTAGTTGAATCATTAGTACCTATATGGCCTTGGTTTGATGTGAAAACTCGACAACATATCTTGCAACTATAACGCTAAAAACTAATTCACACAACTTTATTTATTAATGAATGTTTTCTTTAAGCACCATAAAGAGGGTAATAATTGAAAATGAAGCTATTTTTCAATGTGATTTTGTGAGAAACTAAAAATATATCAATCGTATTTATAGGAAAAAAACCATGTTAAAAAGGTAAGTTGTTGTCTACCTAAAATCAAGCAAGGTAAGCAAATTATATATATATATATATATATATATATATTAAGGTCAAAGATATGGGCGTAACCGACAAAATAAAGTCAAACCATAGATTAATTAATCATGATTAAGTTATAATATATATATATATATATATATATATATATATATATATATATATTAATTAAGGTCAAAGATATGGGTGTAACCGACAAAAATAAAGTCAAACCATAGATTAATTAATAATCATGTATGTTTAAACACATGTATAGTATCTAGACAAATGTGTAAAATACACGAAAAAAATAAAAAAAATAACAGAGATATGTTTTTGGTCAATACTAAGAAACTCAACAGTTAGACAAAAAAGAGCGCGATTCAAAATTTTAGCAAGCAATTGGAAGGGAAGCAACTGGACTAGACTAATTATCTCCATCAATAACCCTATAAAGATAGTGGTATATATTTTTGGGACATTTCTTTTGTGCAGAAACCCAAAGTTTGGGGATTATATTGTCTCATTAAGAAAGTTAAAGGTACTATAATGTCTTTTAACTCTAAAAAATGGGATGACAATGTAACAAACATTTCATATTTTAGGCGCATTTTAAACTCAAAACCACTAATAAAAACTAACGTACGCTGAGTGCGTAAATTAACAGCCTCGTATTCTCAGAGTGAGTGTTCTCATCTACCTGAATTTGATTAATTTTGTCAATTGGGGTTCTTCCATAGCCATGAATTTATCAATCTTGAAAGTTAAAATATCAAAATATTGAAAAAAATCAGTTTTTGGGAAGTTCTTGGAACCCCAAATAATGTCAATCGTATCCCAAAACTTTTTCACAGCTCCACACACTCGTATCAATTTGTTTTGCTTGAAGAACCCAAAAATTTCAACCCCATTACATCTAAAACCTTTGAAAACCCCTTTAATTTTCCGTTCACAAAAACCCCATTTGGACAAAATTGAGTTTTTGCAATGTCATCAATGGAAAGTTAAGAGCTTTGATTCAGAGGGAACTGTAAATGGTCAAGTTTCAGCTGAGTATGAGTTTAATTTTGATGGGTTTCTTTCGATTCTTGAGTTTTTGTGTTTGTTATCTTCAGCTGTGGTAGCTATTGGTTTTGCTGTAAATTCTTGGGTTTTGGGGTCTCAGAAGTGGTTGGGGAATAGGGTATTAGCTGCACAGTGTGTTGTGTTGGTTGGTGGAGTGATCATTGGTTCTGTGATTAGGAGAAGGCAATGGAGGAGGATTTGTATGAATAAGTTTTCCAGGTCTGGGAGTGATTTAAAAGGGGTTAATTTGTTGGAAAGGATTGAGAAGGTTGAGGAAGATTTGAGGAGTTCAGCTACAATTATTCGGGTTCTAACGAGACAGCTTGAGAAACTGGGAATTCGATTTCGGGTTACTAGAAAAACTCTCAAAGATCCAATTACTGAGGTAATAATGTTGTTTTAAGCATATGATGAGGTGAAATGGATTTGGAGCAAGTTTTACTTATCTGTTAATCAGTAAAACATTTTAATCTTATGAATGCAGTTAGTATTATCCTATAAATTGAGGATTGTGATGTTGTTTCCATGATGTCATCTCTAATAAGCATCGTGTGCGTGCTAGAAAGTTCTCTTATTTGAAGTTTGATTGATCAATAGATGATTGCTTCATGATTCATTGCTAATCGATTCTGAAGTGCAAAGAAGTTTGTGGATGCTTGAATTTAAAGGTGGATGCTTTGGTTGGATCTATAAATGTTAGAAGTGACTACCCTTCGGGGTGGCCCAGTGGTTTGGGCTTGGGACTTCCATGTTGGAGGTCTCAAGTTCGATACCCCTTGCCAGCGAAAGCAAGGGGTTTGCCTTCTGGGTCGAGCTCGTCGCACCGGGCTTGCCTAGTGCGGGTTACCTCTCCTATGTGGTTTGCGAGCTATTGCATAGGAGCGGGGGTTTTACCCTGTGCACACCAAAGGGTAGCGGCTGCGGGTTTCCCTTGTCATAAAAAAAAAAAAAAAATGTAGAAAAATGAATCAAAAAACCATACTAGCAGATTGGAGATTATTTGCAAAAAAAATAAACTTAGGGAACTTACGTTTGCAATGTTCTTATTTAATATAGTTCATAAAATCTGAATAAGTTAACCTGAAACTCATAAAATTCTTTGCTTTATCTTGGATGATATGATAACCTTATCAAGAAAATGAAATCTACATTATCTTTCTCGCAACGATCAAAAGTTGACTTCATCGTATATCTGTCTGTTTGCTGATGAAACTTACTTGTAAACCATTTGTATTTCTGTTTGTTTGTTTACTGAACTTTCTTTAGAAAAGGTAATGTAATGCTCCTTGCTTACTGAACTTGTAAGCCATCAAATTATTAGGTGAAACAACCATTTGTAGTAGTGTGTCTCAATTCTATAAAGTAGGACCAACAACAACCTGAACATCAGAGTGGACTTGGAAAACGTAAAACCTGAGAAAATAATTGACTCAGAGACTTGGCATATGCTAGTTGTAAAGTCGTAATAAGGATTTTGTGCTTTATCATGATAATAATTTATTTATTTTTGAAACTGAAGTTTCAAGTTAACCTCTTTTTTTTTCTAATCATGATAACAACTTAACCTTTTTTTTTTCTTTCGCTAAGAGTTGCCTCATTTAACAACTTAACCTCTAAAGCACATACCCGACCCCATCAAAAGTGGGATTGAGGCATATTTTATTGATTACATATTCTATAACTTTGTCCAACAAGCTTACTTGGAGCTCTTCCATTTGAAAGTCCGTCCCCCCCTTCCCCCCCCCCCCCCCCCACACACACACACATACACTAATTGACCATTGAAACCATAGAATAGTTTATGGAAATATGAACCAAGTACAGACAACTTATTGAGGGGTATCCCAAACTATACTCAGACGTCGTTCCCAAACAAGGTTAGCTTGCATTTAAGAGAGAGATGAAGCTCCCTGAGAAGGGCATGTTTTGCCTACCATGACGGGTGAAGTGATGTGCTTTAGAGATCCTCTCTTTAGACGATGAAGTGCAAAGGCGTAAAATCATCTATAAAGAAGCGATCACTTTTTTTTTAATCTAACTTTAAAAGGGGAAAAAAGAGAGGAGGAAATATAGGGCCTTTTTGCTATTTGAGTATTAGGACTCCTTTCCATTTACATTTCAGCATTCTCTTGTCGTCAGTGTCTTCCTTTTCTTCTAGTATATGTCACGCCTTTTCATCAACTATTATTTTTGTTACAAGTAATTAGAGATTTTGTAGATGAACTTGCACTAGGCCCGTGCATAATTACTTCTTCTACTATTATGTTTCTCTGCTACTTTTGATTTATTTCTTTCTTCTTATATTTTCTCTTTTAGCTACCGTTTCTTCTTCTAGTATATGAGTGCTCTCCCTTTTCTTTTGCCACTTCTGATTCTGAGCTACAAATTGATTCTTTTTCCGATTAATTGAAATTAATGATCTGGAATTTTAATTGCAAGTTGACTTTATAAGTAACAAATTCACAAGTACTTTTGTATTTGGGTAAATTATACACTTCATCTTGGAAAAATATGGGTTTTGCCTCTCACTTTCGCTTAAAGCCTTGAGTGCCTTGTAGTTTCTGAGTCAGTTCTTGCAGATACTATTTTTGTGTAATCTTATACTCTAGCCTTCCTTCTTGTGATTCCATTTTCTTTCTATCCAGGCTGCAATGTTGGCCCAAAAGAACTCTGAGGCCACTCGAGCATTGGCATTGCAAGGCGAGCGTCTGGAGAAGGAGCTTGGTGAAATACAAAAGGTTCTGCTGGCAATGCAGGTAAACTGTTGTTTTAACTACTTTTCCAAGATTCACGTGCTTATTCCAATTTCCAAGAGGCATTGTTTTTTACAGGAAAATTTTCTGTGGTGGATTTACATCTTCAAGATGATAAAAGAATGCTTCCGTCAGACAATTCTTTTTTTAGGTTGTGTCTAGCATAAGATGTGAGGGTTTACTTTTAGGTCCATTTTACATCTCCATTTTTGGCTGATTCTAAAGGTTAACCCATTTAGATGCAACTCATGATATGTTCAACACAGTATTGTGCATGATGATTGGTAAGTTGTCCCGCATCGGTTGTGAGATGTGGATTTTGGTCTTGGAAAATCCTCAGCTTATGAGCTAGCTTTTGAGGTTGAATTAGGTCGAATGTCAATTTCTTTACACGGTATCGAGGCAGACCCATCTCAACCCTTGGTTAACTCAATGTTGAGCCCCATATTATGTTGTCCATGCTCAAGTTGGCAATCCTGGGCATGTGGGGGTGTTAAGTTGTCCCACATTGGTTGTGGGATGTAGATTTGCTCTATTTGGTCTTGGGAAGTCCTCACCTCATGGGCTAGCTTTTAGGATTGAGTTAGTCCAAGGTTCATTTCTTTACTATTTAAGTTTATGACCGTCTCATCTAAAAGTTGAAACTGTTAGCAAGAGCTTTGAAATAGTTTTTTAAAATGGAAGTGCTCTTTTAATTACTTAATTAATGTTATGTGTCAACACGCCTTCTCACGAGTGGGCTTGATTCTTTTTCCTAAGCCAAACACGTGAAACATTTTTCTTTTTGCCTTTTCTTTGGGGTGGCGTTGAGATTTGAAACCAGGACCTCTGTCTGCTCTAGTCCATGTTGAAGTTTATGACCATCTTATCTAAAAGTTCAAGCTATTAGAGAGAGCACACTTTTAATTACTTAATAAATATTATATCTCAACCGTGGGTCTTAGTATAGTAGAACTCTAGAGAAGTTGGGTTGGTAACTATGATATTGATTGAACTGATATATGGTGAAGGTGTGTCGTTGACATAATAAACAGGAAAGATAAAGAAGAAAACTTGAGAAATAAAAGGGAAGTATAGTTACTCAAAGATCTTCCAGACACGCACCTAAGCAGGTGTAGATTTCCATTGCACGCAGAATCTCAATCCAAACCAGAAAAGGTCATCTGTTCATAGTTTTGCTTAAAATATGGAATAATATGTTTCGAGTCTGGTAGGAAAATATTGGAATGGAAGGTTTTCTATTCATTGTTTGACTTGCAAAGTCTAATTAAACTTGCATCCTTTTTCTCTTATCTCCTTGTGTTATCCATCTTCCTTCTGTTCCTGCATACTTTTTCTGATAATTTGATCCAAGTCTTTTATTCGAAACAAGAAAAGAAGAATACAAGCACTATTGAAGAAAGTTCTCATATCTGCACCCCTTCTTTTAGATTATTAAGATATTATGAATTGAAAGTTGCTATTAATTAGGAATAATATCAAAGGTGCAAGGGAATATGTTCTAGCATAGCCAACCAATATGATATCTGTTCATTGCAGTTGTATAATTAGAAATGAAACAAGTTTTCAGATAGATCTTGCTTTTATTTCCTTCTCTCTTTGTTTTTTCGTTTCATATTAGTCGTTATTATTAGTTTATTTTATTGTTGTAGTTGCTGTCGGGAAAGTGAGTGAAATTGGATAAGGAGAGTTGAGTCCCTAATTCAAATATGATACCAAACATGATGGAGAGGGTCAAAACAATGAGCATGGAGTGTTAATGACCATAATTTCAACTGTGTTCTTGATAGCTTTTTAAAATGACATCCTGAGCATGGACATGGTGCAACTTCAGCTTCCTGAGGACATAACCTTAGATAGGAGGGTATGGAGGTCGCATATTAGGGTAGAAAGTTAGTAGGTAGTAGAACATTGTCTTGCTTTTCAATGGGATTAGGCTTGGTGCTAATCTGGAGCACCGTATCTGTCGTAGTATTAACCTTATTCTGTTATCCTCTGTTGTATATTAGGTTTCGGTGATCACACTATTTTGCTGATGTTACTGTTCCTTCCTGAATGCACTGCTTTCCTATTAGTCACCATGTTCACAATTGTTTTTCCTTTTCATCACTACTTTGATTTGCTAAACTTGATCTGATGGCCCTTCAGAAATAGCCTCTCTACCTCCAAGACGTTGGGATAATTCTACGTACACTCTACCCTCCCAGACCCTACTTGTGGGATTTCACTGGGTGTGTCTTTTATTTGGTGTTAATCTAGCATATGCATACTCTTGCCAAATTTAAAATGGCATCTTGACAGTAAAAGTATTGTAATGAAAAATAGAGCTAATATGAATTTCTAAGCATCAATAATTTACATAGAAGTTGTGTTAGTTTTCTTCACCTGACTCCTATTTGTTATTTACTCATCTACAGGACCAGCAACACAAACAGCTTGAATTAATTCTCGCAATTGGGAAAACTGGAAAGTTATTTGAGAACAAGCAAGGGCTTAGTCAAGATCCAAATAAAAATACAAATGACATGTCTAATACAGCCGCGGATGGATTTCCACAGTTGGGAGTGAATCAAATTCAAGCTTTGAAGAGACAGCGGGAAACCAATAATGACAGAATCTAGTTTCTTTCAGTATAGACCAGTAAGATTTCTTTAAACGACGAAAGGGTGATATGCATGGTCTCACACTTATATGGATGAAGATTGACAGATATTTGAGGAATCATATATCCTTGTGCAGATTCTTTTCTCCTGGGTTTTTTTGAGCAATATCTCTGTAGGGAGGGAGAGGAGAAAGGTGAAACTCGATGTTCTTGTTCACGTTTATTTGACAACGTAACGTTGTGTATTAAGAAAACACAATTGATCATTCTATCTCCTGCAGTTCTGATGCTAAAGGGTCATTAGTTGTCAAATTTTGTTCTGGTATTGCAATGCCAAGAATGCTCTGGCATGTTTTCTTTAGCGTTTTGTCGCTTCTTCACTTGCTTTTTTTTCCTCTCGAACTGCTTTGAAATGCTTTTACTTGAGGTAAGGTCTGCGTGAACACTACCTTCTCTAGATCCCACTTGTTTCTCTAATCTTTGAAATGATGTGCTAAAAGAAGTATGCTGAACAATTATTCAAGAACAAAGTACAATATTTTCAAGAAACATAGTAAACATTTTGCTAACTTGATTAAATGAGATCTTTTTTCTCATCACAAAAGAATAGCTTACACTTGAAAGTTATGAATATATATGATTAGATTCGACTCTTAACATATTGCAATGTATGGTAAATCTTTTTTTTTTTTTGGTTCTCCACCTTAAGACCAATCGATATAAATATTGAAGTCTCACTAATAAGAGTTTAGTAAACATTTGACGGAAATAAAACAATACTCAATTTTGACTTTTAACAAATTTAGAAAACTAAAAGTTGCTTAAATGATACTTAAAGATACACTGTTTTGGGTTCAAGCCTAGGTATGAAAGTGCTTTCCCTGAATGGGGCCTAGACAACATGAATTCGAATTAATCAGGTTTCAATGTGGGTATGAACACCGGATGAAAAACCAGAAAAAAAAATAGATGAGTCTTTTCTCAAACGACAATGACATAAATGAGTCTTTTCTCAAAGTTTGATGACATATTTGAGCCTAGGTAAGAATGTGCTTCCCCCAAATGGAGCCTAGGCGGCGCGAAGTTGGTTTAATCGGGTTTTAAAGCGGATACAAGTTTCAATACAATTACGGACACCGGATGAAAAACCATAAAAAAATAAATACTATTTTTAACCTACTCTAAAGACGGGAGACCATTTTTGTGATTTTCTTTTTTCAAACAACAAATAAATACTCAATTCACGCTCGTTGCTGTACCTCTGTGTGTTGGAGCTGCAGTAAACCAGAGGGGTGAAGAAGACGAACAGAGCAAAAGCTAAGAATGGATGGACTGAGGAAGCTAGAAAATGTACAGAAAATTATACAAATGATGGAGTCTCACGGTATCGTTAGTTCTTCTAGCAACACCCATAATGCCAGCTCTCTTCGTTTTCTTGCTGATGTAGTCCTTCTTTTGGTAAAGCTTCATTCTTTTTTGATTCTTGAATTAGTTTTTAGGCTTAATTTTCAGTATGTGTGTATATTATTTTTTGTATGGGGATGAAAATTGTTTGAATGAAGTGGAATGGGTATAGAGAATTGAAATAGTCGACCCCAATTTGTTCGGGATTGAGGCGTTGTTGTTGTTAGGATCAAGATTGATGTGGGTTTTGATGCTTGGCAGTAATGAAAAACTGAAACCGGATTTTTTAGTGTGTATGTAGTTCCTCCGTTTCAATTTGATTGTCTTAATTTCCTTTTTAGTCCGTTCCATAAAGAATGTATCTTTCTATTTCTTAGTAACTCTTTACTTTCAACTTTACACGTGGTATGTTTAAGACCATAAGATTCATAAGTATTCTTTCCTTTCTTAAACTTCATGCCAAGTCAAAACTAGACAATCAAATTGGAATGGAGGGAGTGTGTATTTTCTTGTATTAGCATGAAACTTGTCCAAATGAAGTGGAATGGATATAGAGAATTAAAACAACCTATCCCAATTAGTTTTTGATTGAGGCGGTTGTTGTTAGGAGTAGGAACAAGATTGATGTGTTTTGAGACATGCTGACAATCAGTGACAGTAACAAAAACTGAAGAAGGGATTTGGGAGTTGCAAAGTGAATAAAGAAATGAGCTTTGATGTGGTTACTTTGTACTGAGTTCAAAATTTCTACACCCTCTCAGAGTTCTCGTTAAAACCATTTTATTATTTTTAGTTATGCAACACTTCCTTATAGGATCACCAAAGCAGGCTCCTTTAGCTAGGTGTTACTTTACTAATTTAATATCAAGTAAAGGGAACTAATGTCTAAAACCTCCTGTTTTCAGGGAGATCATTTCTTCTACAGCTAGATATTAAGTTATAGCAGGCCTAAGTAACCTCCAATAGCTTCAGCCCTTCTAGTGAAAATCTTTGTCACAATTTGAGTTCTTGCTTTCAATGAGACTTTCTTAGCTTGTTTAACTCTTTCTCCTTCACCAAGAAAGTTATCTAGTAAGCCAAGATCGTGGTATGTTGCTTATTGCCCATTTGAGGCCATTTCATAGAAGAAGAGCAATTGAGGTTATGGGTTCCATTTTAGCTGCACACAGAGTGACCCTATATATTCTTCCCCCAAATGTGGCTAACTTGGTAGCTATGATTGATTATTATTGACTTTGTAACTCTTCAGCAGAAGAGTGCTTTTGTACGCGGTTTGTAAGCTACCAAATCATTATGGAGCTAGGATAACTGATACATACTCAAATCAATTCAAGATGTAGATAGTGATAATTACCGACTGCGGGAGGAATATGAAGACTCTGAAGGAGAAATAGTAATTACTTCTCACCCTATAACCCTAAAGAACTAAAGAAGGCTTAAACAACGAGCAACCTTCATTTTAATACCTTCAGATATATTTCAGGGCTGATTATTTGGCGGTACAGTCAATTGGTTGTGTTTCTCTTTTCTTTGATCCTTTGTACTGATTTTGAATTGGTTGGTATATATGGGTATTGCTACATCAGGATGTACACTAAGAGTTGTTCTCTACTTTCTAGTCACTTTCTAATATTATTCATATATCACTGAAGGTATCGCGATGCTGTGAACTTGACATTGGTGCCAAGTGCCAATTGATTATTGACCATGTGCCAAAGGTTTGCATCGAAATTTAGAAGCTCTTTCAATTGTGTGAGAGGCTGCAGTGAACATACATGTTGTTTCTTTGGCAGTTTTCACATGCTTTCCTTGAGGAAGCATTGCAGTGTGCTAGTGAGCAAGGTGTGTTCTACAGAAGTGATGACAGAGTCATGCACAATACATTTTCTTTGGTTATTCTTCTCTTTGTTTCGTCCCTTGAGATTTGGTTCCTTTTATTTGTGTAATTGATTCTTCCTTGGAATTTTGATAAAAGGACTTGTATTGACTAGATGCTGAAACTTACTAATCCAAAAAGCCAAAAAAAAAGGGGAGTTCAAAAGATCTGATCATTTTGTTTCCATCTTACTTGCTAAATGATGTACTTTTATGGAAATGTGGTGGGCTTTTGATACCTTTTCCTTGGTGATCTCCCACACAACATGACACATATCTTGTTCAAATATGGGATTAGTTTGTTAATTTATTTGCTTACAATTTCCAGGTGCTACTAGTACAAGTCAATCTTTGACCTTCCCCTAACATCTGTATCTATTGCTCTCTTTCTCCCCATAATTTCTCAAAAAGTTGGTCATGTCTTACAGAAGCATGAGGTTTCTATCATAGTTGATTTATGATAAACCTACATTAATAACTCGCTAATGAAACGAGCACAAATGAGAAAACGTAGTGGGAATTGGGAGACGGGGTTGTCAAATACTTTGAAATCTGATGAGCCAAAATACCACAAACTTGTCATATCAGCTGGAGGTATTTCAGAAGTAATAAAAATATATGAGATTTTCCAGTTCGCCTATATTCATGTTAGAAGTGTATTGTCTTTCCTGGAATTAGCTTGCTTTTTCTTTTTACCCGAGCAGAGGGAATTAGCTTGTTTCCACCTTTAACTTTCTTGCAGGTGTTGAACAAATGGTAAATACCGGTCCACTTGATTGTGGTGATAAGATTATACCGGATCCATCTAAAATGGGATCCGAAGATATGCCAATGATTGGACTTGATGCTATGCAACGAGCTAATTCTACATTAGAAGATTTTGTGAGTATTTATTTTCCTTGTGGATCTTAAGGATTGCTGTTTATCATACCATTTTTGGTCTCTGGACTGTCTCTGTATATTGCTGGCAAACAACACAAGATTTTGATGATTAAATTCGCAAAGGTTTTTGCTGTCTTTTTGTATGTTGGGGAAAACAGCGTAATTAGCTTTTTGGCAAGTTGATATTCGATTATCGAGTGAACATCTCATCAATCTAGGACTAAGTAGTTTGCATGTTGGAGCATCTTTTTTTTCGATTCACATTACTCCACTACTTCTTATGATGTCGTATCAATTGTAGTTCTCATCTCTGAACAAGTTATGCTGCCTAGGACTTAAGATAGGGTGATTTGGTAGTTTTCAAACTCATCTTTGTTACTATCTTCATTTTAGTAATAAAGGTGGACAAATGAAAAGATGGCGGCTTTAACTGTAGTGCATATTGGGTTGATGAACAGGATAAAGCAAATGGGTCTTCATCAAATAAATATTTGTCCTATTTGTGGTAAATGCGTGATGAGACTCTAGGTGAAGGATATCATCTTACTAATTATCCTACATTCATATTGGCTAAATGGGATAAAGATTAATAAAGACAGCTGACTAAAATATCCCAGGCATTAATGTTGAAATGGAGGAATTGTATGAAGCTTGCTGGAAAAATGAGTGCTGATAAGTGATATATATAGCATTATCAAGGATAAATAAAACCAGTAAAATATTACCTTTCTAAGAAAAAAAGATAAGTACTCATTATTTTTTTATTCTAATCAAGAATAACCTTTTACCAACATCTGATAAGAAGAACTGTACGAAAAAGAAAATTAACTATGGAAATGAAGAATATTTCATTCATCTTGTCCTGCACTTTTACATCCATAGGCAGGATGACTGCCGTAAGTCATCTTGATGTCTTCACATTCCTTAACCAAAGGAGCACTTGAACTTTACCCTGTAAGCTATTATTGATAATCCAACAAACTGGCTTCTCGCATTGGTGACTACCTTTTTAAGCATATATTGAAGGCAATTCTCTTCTTTTTTTATGCTAGACCCTTCTAGCTTGGAATAACTTAGAATGATCTTATGTTCTTAACCTTAATAATACCTGCCGCAGGTCATTTATCCCCTTCTAGCTTGTAAGAACTGAGAATGGTGTAATGTTCTTAACCACTACAATTCTTAACTCTCACTCTTGAGTTAAACTCTTGTGTTTCAGTCGTCCAAATTTGCTTAATTTCTCAAACATCTTGTTGTAAATTCATCCATTGCCCTTACTCTGAAATCATATTGGAAAATTCTGCATATTTGCTGACTTGCAAGACTGGTTATTTTCTCTCTAACACCATGCATCAAATTATTGATGTTGGCTGACCAAGTTTTCTGTTTTTTTATTGCTCTAGGACCTTGTAGAAATAATAAGCTGATGTTAGTTTCGTGTGCCAGTGCAGGTCTTATTTTATGTTTCACAAAATGGATCCTCACCAACCTCAGTCTATGTTCAGATACCTACCGATACTTTCATTTACTGAAAGTTACATTTATCAGGTAAGGAGATTGACAGGCTGCTGATCATTTTGGGTTGAAGCATTTCAATAAAATCTTGTTGCACATGACACATCATGGAATTTCGTTAAAATACGCATCGCTCTCGACGGGAGATACTTTCCTTATTAACAACCGTGACTTCTTTCCTCTGCTGTTCACTCCTTTTGTCCCCCTTTGCTTTGTTTGGGTAAAAAGGATACTACAGGGTAAAGATCTATTTCTTTCCCCTTGGGTAGGTAAGAAGGGAAACATCCCAACCTCTTTCTAATTCGTATATCTTTCTTGATGCAGTTGGATAATTTAAATGAGAAACTGCTGCAGCCATCAGTGAGGAAGGATCAATCGTCATATCGTGAATACAGTGTGGTAGTACTACAGGCACATAAGATTCTCATAAATAATATTTTAGGAACATTTGAGTTTTTACTTGCTTATAGTTGAATCCAATTCCTTATTTCTGTGTGTTTTATTATGTGCAGGAAGAAAGCTGGGAGCTTACATATGTGAGAATGATGACCAATGATCCGTTTAGACCTCTTTCTATTTTACTTCAGCAGCATGGGCTTTTGACAGACAGGTCTAACTTCATATAGCTATTTTCCTTTTCATCCTTTTCCATTCTGTTTGTGAAGCTCCAAACCATGCTAGAATTATTTATCTCCTTAGGAATATTTTAATAAGAACTTTGCTTACTTCACTTTCACTGACAACTTCTCCAAAAAATCTTTTGAAGACCATTTCACTCATAGAATATCTTTCTGACTTCTTTCTTGTACCGTTGTCTTTGTTACATCCATTGTACTGTTTACATTTCCTTTTTGTTCTTTTTTATCAATCAATAAGTCATTTGTCTACCTTGCTTACTCACCCGTGTAGTCCTCCCTATAGAAAGTTCAGAAGAAGGTGATTGCACAGGAATGACAAAAGAAAGAGGGCAGAATCTGTCTACAACACATCTTTTTCTCTCTTCTCCTTTTTCTTTGCCTCATTTTGTGTATATGCTCTTTGAAGTTTGATTTCTGTTTTTGTGCTAAAGGTAGTTCTTTTCTAGGGTAAAATACTCTATAGATACTTTGCTGGTCATCTTTCCATGGCGTGAGGTGGTTCTTATGCTGTGACCTTTAAGTGTTTATTCACTTTGTTCAGGGTAAGAGAAGAGTTTAGTAGTGGAACAGAATATTGGTCTCTGGAGAGAAAGCTGTGTCATGCACTTGGGAGTAAACAAGAGGTATTGATTCCATATTCTGAACAAATTGATCAAATTCTCACAAGTTTCTTATCTACTATTCCTTTCTGATTAAGATTTATCGGGGGATAGTCTTCTTGAATCTAATTATTCCAATGCCATGGACCTCTTACAGACATTAATTGTGGTCTTTTCTTTACTTGATTTTCATTAGGTTATGAATTAGAGTAATAATTCTAACCTATGCATGAATTAGGGCGTCAAAGCAATTCTTAGAAAGACATATACAATATACAGACTCATTTGCCAGATCCATGCTGTATAAAATACCTTTATGGATTCTAGCATATTGTCGGCGAAGTTCCTATGTGACCGAAAGCTGAAAATTTGTGGGATAGATTGTCTTGATAAGTGTACTAAACAATGGAGTCATAATCCTTTCGTGTGTTTCGGGACGTTAAAAAAAGCAGTTTCAGTTACTAGATTACTTAAAACTGAAATCCTGTAGTGCCTGAAATGCGTACTTTTGATTTTTATGTCGCAGGATTAGCTATGACTTATGATCTTTCCTTTAAACTGTGACTCATGTCCTATCTGAGCCCCTATCTTATTTCCATGGATGGTTTTGATCAATGATTCTGTGAACAGATTTCAGTTGAAGATGTCATGAAGGCAATTCATCTGAAGTCCTTTGATTACCGGGTGCTGAATCTTCTGTTGTATCAACTGAGAGATGAAAAGGTATATCTCATTAGGAAGAAGTGGTCATTGGTTTCTTTAACATTTTGCTTTGACTAGAAACGTTCTGATATCTTTATCTTTGAAATGTAAGTTCAATATAATTTTCCTCCTCTATAAATTGAAGTATATTGAGAGTTGCTAAAATTGTTTATAATTTACCATTTTCATATCAAACTATTGGTTCTTGAGATGACAACAGCAAGTGTAATCTCACCAATGGGTCTGGGGAGGGTGGTGTGTAGGCAAAAGGCAAGAAGAGTTACTAATTGTGAAGTACTCCATGCATAGTATTCCCAGTAGAATTTCTTAATGAGTAGTGTAGTAATCAATTGTTTTACGTTGTAGTTCGTGTTCTTGATTTCATGTATATAGTTTTCTCAACGATAAGTTGACAATGCTTTTAGTCATATGCGTTAATCTTTTTATGTTGTGATTTTGTGTTCATGTGTTTCTTTTGATACTGTTCTGCAGGTCAATGATATGCATATGGAATTTTTGACAATATCGGAGTTCCTTGTGGAGATATCCGATGACTTGTAAGTATCTGGTAAATTATGTTAATTACTTCCATTCTGATAGAGAAAAGTTTTTGTGCTTCCCAATTAATGCGGGTTCTCTGGTTTTCTTGATGTGATAAATCTGGATGATCTTAAATGACTGGATGATGCCAGGTTTGATTATGAGGTGAATCATTTAATTTCAATGGTTTGTTTACCCTCAAGTCATTCATGCGGGAAGATGATTATTCCTTTTTCTTTTTCATAGGACGATGTGTTAGAGAATAGTTTCAATATTCTGCGCATGTTCAATGGAATTTATGGGGCTTCTGCAGCACCAACCATGCTGGTAAGTAACCGTGTTTGTTCTGATAAATGCTATGAACATGGGCAGGTTTGAGTCTTCAAAAAAAAATTCCGTTTTGGAGCTTCTGTTCCTTCTATAGGGACTTTAATGTCCATGACTGGTTCGTGAAGAGTGCATTTGGGATGTTGTTATCGATCAAATATTCTAGTATTTCCTTCAATTAAAGCATCTACTTGTGAAGTATTTAGGAGAGTCGGGGACATTTGACCAATTTAGTTTTAGAAATGTCGGATTAAATCTTCCAAGGGGATGCTAACTGTTAAGATTTAACCATACTGTTGCAATAAGTACTTGAACCGTGAAAGAAAGAATGCTCGAGATTTGTTTTTTTCTCAATGTAGAAGCTAACTGAAGCGAATTCCAGGCAAAAGTTATAACTGAAGCTGAAGAGAAGTATGATAGTCTTTTGAAAGCTCTCGATCCCGAGCTCTCTCTGAAGTATCAGAAGAGATGTGAAGAAGCTACTAAAGAAGGTAATATTTTCGCCTATTAATTTTTTTTACGAATCCTTCAACTATTTGACCCTTCAACCTATGATCTTTATTATCAGGATTTTGCTTTATTCCTTTAGAATTTATCCAAATTTTAACTATCTTCCTTTGATTGTTAGGCGGGAAGACGTCAGGTCCATCTCTTGGAACATGGAGTATACCTTCTGTTATTGAAGACGAGGAACTATATCGATCTGATGTTTTGAATTCGAAGCCATCACAGAATACTCAACAACAGTCAAGCCCTACCAGCCAGAAACCACTAAAATGGCAGCTGAAACAACGTAAATCTGCATAAACGAAAACAAAAAAAGACAATCTGGAGGTTAGCATCTAATCCTCCCCATTTACCATCATAGAAGCCTCCCTATTTGTCTCTTGACCCCTCATTCCGCTCCAAGAGGGGTTCACGTCTGATTAGCTAGTTGGGTAGTATTATTACTTTATGTTCTACAACTAAACAACAACAAACCTAGTGTAATCCTACGAGTGACTTATGTTCTACAACTCTTAATCAAAAAAGAAAAAAACACTAGGTCATTTCTTCCTCCCTTCTGCCTAAGCCTTGGCGACGGAGTCACCAAGTACCTGTAACATGTACCCGGTAGAATAGTCAAGGTGCACGACAAGCTGACCTAGACACCACCATCCGAAGCAAAAAAGATTACGTTTATTGATCAAAAAAGGTGAAAAAAGATTGCTACTTCATGTTCTAAAACTAGGAGTTATGGTATTTTGAACAATTTTTCTTTTTAAGGGTTGTTTTCTTGCACTGTTGTACATTACTTATTTCGTTGTGGTGGACACAGATTATGGTACAAGGTTACAAAATGCTTTGTCATGGTTTCTTCACTTCCGGTATTTCTGACCTGTTTTGATATGCATTTTCTCTATCGGAAACAACCTCTCTACCTCCCAAGATAAGGGTAAGTTTGTGTTCACTCTACCCTCCCGAGACCCTTCTTACGGAACTATACTGGATATGTTATTGTCGTTGTACATTATTTATTTGGATTTGGGAACAACACTGGTGCTGGTGTGAAAATGAGGACACTCAACATGTGAGTGAAGATGTAAAATTTATGTTTTTATGCAAAATATTCTTTGAAGATCTGACATGAATTGGCATTTTATCAAAAAAGCATCTTCAGAGTCTTACGTACAGCTTCTGCTATACATACTGCAATAGTAATAAGCCAAGAAAGAAAAACCAAATGTATTGAAACAAATCTTTTTTTTGGTGTGGGGCTTTTAATTATTGTCTTCTTCTTTAGTATGAGTCAATTAAAAGGAATCTTTTTTTCACCTTTTTCTAGCATGGGGTGGCCACCCCATTTCTGTAAAATTCATGTTTTTTTGTTTGACTTCTATGTGTGATGACAATAATTCATAGAAATTTTGACAATGGTTTCACATTTACATTGGTTTATTCACTTCTTCTAGACTGGTTTATTTTATTATTTTTTTTTCTATCTGGTGTTCGGTACTCACATTGAGGTCGATTTAGTTTTGGATTCGTGCTGAAAAGGTACACATTGAAGTTAAAACACTTTTTAATAAAGGCAATATCATATTCATAATTCAAACATGAGATTTATGACTAAGGGCAATTTGTCATATTCAAACTTAAGACTTTTGATTAAAGAACTTTTCATAGAAATTTGGTGGGGTTTAGTTTTTAAAGTTTTTTCCTATCTAGTGTTCGGTATTCACATTGAGATCGATTAAGTTGAGATTCGTGTTGGAAAAGTACACAATGGGGTAAAATGCTTTTTAACGAAGGAGATATCATATTTAATGTTCAAACTTGAGACTTATTTGTTTGTGGGGGTTGGGGGTTGGGGGGGGGGGGGGGGAGCAAATCGATCTCGATTATTGAATAATTCACATCACTTTGTTTGGGGGGGGGGGGGGGGGTGTAATGACAATAATTCACACCAATATTGACTATGGTTTCATATTTACATTGGTTTATTCACTTTTTCTAGACTGGTTATTTTATTTTTTTTCATCTGGTATTCGCATTGAGGTCGGTTAAATTTGAATTAGGATTCGTGATGGGATGTTTCACAATGAATGTGAAGTGTTTTTTAACAAAGACAATTTCATATTCAAGACTTGAAGTCTCAGACTCGAGATCTCTCATTAAAGATGGAGTATTTACCCTGAGGGATTGGTTGGTTGGTTAATTTATATTCAACATTAGTGTTGAAATTAGTAACTTTTCTTTTGATATTTCTTTTTTACGAAGCAAATCGAAATCAATTATTGAATAATTCACATCACTTTTATTGGACCACAGAGATTCCCTTTTTCTATAGAAAAGACATGTTATCAATAATTCCTGATTTTAGGGTCGGACAATTCCTTAATATCTAATAATTTATTATAAAACTTTTTGTGTATGATGATTAAAAAAGAGGTTTTTTTTTTAAAGATCTAACATATTTTGTAATGATTTACCTGAATCGATGATCTATCAAAAATAACAGTTCAACATACACATCATTCACATCAAATGACAAATAAAGTAAATTATAAATACATGATGGAAATAAATAGTAAATGCATTTCTATAAAAGATTGTTTGTTTAAGAGATTTTCAAATTAAAATATGAAAAAAATAAAGTCATTGTTGGCCATTCATGTCAATTAATCATAAAGGGCATTTTACATTCTATATTTGCCAAAAATTATTAATAATTTAGAAATATGGTCAATTTCATGTAGTATTTGTTTCGTTTTTGGCCTTAATCTTTATTTAGCAAAACAAATTTTCTCCCTCCATACCAATTAGGAAAAATTACTGAAATACACGTCTTATGTTTCCCTTATTTCTAATATTCCCTTCTATTTCTAAAAACCTTTAAAATTCCTTATTTCTCTCATAATTCTAAATTATTTTATAATGTATCTGAGCTAGTTTTTAATGTATTCGAGCTACATATTATATATCCGGCCTATTTTATAATGTATCCGAGCTACATATTATGTATCCGATTTGTTTTACTTTTTCAGGGATTAATGTAATTACAAACTAAATAGGGATAGATTGTAATTTCATATTAAAACTATGTGATTCCTAAAATTTATACAAAAAATTATTGACCTATAGTTTCTGTTTTAATCTGTCCTATACAGCTATCACATTAATTTTAAATTAAATTATTACTGTAGTACAAAGGGAGTATTTCAAGATTCATATAATTCGAGATAAAAAAAAGTATTAGATGATTCTTTTCTAAGATGCTTAAGCCTTAATAGACAGATGTATCTGGTACTTGTGCTAGCGAAAGAAAGCATATATTCAATGAAATAAATAAAATGTGCGTAAATTGATTCGAACGCGACCGGAATAAAAAATGACACCAAAGGAGGAGATAAGTGGCATAAATAAGAGAATAAAGTGAGTCCAAGAATCAATTGGGATAATATGATAGTTACATTCGATTCCCAAATGTAGAAATTCCTTTTTCCATCCAAAAAGAAAATCCAATTTGTTCTTTTATTCCCTTCCCATCAATCACTAATTATTATAAGATTGACAAAAAAAATATCATTTGATCAATCAATCAATAATTAACCATGTCTTAATCCTAAATTAATCAGGATATGTTATATCACTTCTTTGTATTCATTTTTTTCTCTAATCATAGCTAGATAATATTTACATTGATCGTCAACTTATACAGAGTTAAGTCACAAGTTTCAGCATTACGTCAAAGTAGAGATAGAGGGTCAAGATTCATCATTTTCAGTTTCAAAAACTACGTTCAGCTCCAGACGAATTTCTTGATCATCGAAAAAAAAGTGTCATTAACATAATAAAATGTTGAAAACAAAAAGTCAAGCTAACACTTCAATAAGATGTAAGATGTTGTGTGGTCCATTAAGTAAACATAAAAAAAAAAAAAAGTAGACATGCTTTTTTTAACACAAAGTCAATTGTATTATTTTTCATGTTTGTCCTTGCATGTCTCATTTGAGGGCCCATGAAAATAACTTAAGATATCAAATATTTGGTTGGTATTTTTGGCTTTAAGTTCACTCTTTCACTTTGGTCAATTTTTGCTTTTTTCTTGGTGGAATTGGGAGGAAAAATTTCCATCTCAATTATATCTTTCTTTCACTATACCAAAGTTAGATTTTAACTTTCTCTATGTTTTCCTTTTGGTGTTGGGATTAGTTGAGAAACCACCTTTTTCCTTTGTTTTCTTTTTACCAACTCAAAATAGTCTTCTTTTAAGTGCTTTATTTCTTCATCAAGTGTCACTGAGATTTTTGGTTCCCAAAGCAAGGTACTTTTGGTCGATATTGCTCGAACACTCCAAAAATATTGCTGCACACATGGGCGAAGCCCCTAGGTGGTCCAGTGCAAATCCTTCGTCAGGAAATTGTGGTGTACGAGTTTAATGGTTAGCTACTTTGATAGCATATTTACTTTTGCATACCCTTAGCCAAATTCCTGACTACGCCACTAGCTACACCAACGACATATACTCAAAAAATGCACTAGTTTTAGAGGATCAGACATGTCTATCAACATTTTTGAAGAGTCAGAGCAACATATCTTTTGGCCTAAGCTAATGAAAGTTGAGAATCCCACACAAGAGAGCAAAATTCAAGCTCTTTTTTCATTTTTCTACTATTAGTTGTAGCCATTGATGATGAATGGATGAACTTCAAACATAGGTAAAAAATGGACTTGTGACATTGAAATTGTGATATATTCAATGTACACATAATAGAACAAGGAAGATCGATAGCAGAACACCTTGCAACGTATCAAAGTAACATGAGTTCAACAACAGCTTCCCATACGAAAAATGTATGGAACAACTCGAGACAATCCTGATGAGTGTTTCAACTAAGATCGCCCTGATAAGGCGTTAAGTTTATGGATTCATCAAGGAACACAACAAAGAGAAAGCTGAAAAGTATATAGCTGAACTCAATCAATTGATACAATGACAACTTTTTATTATATGATTCCGCGGAGTACATATAATCTGATGAACACAGAAATCACATTTACATCTTCGAAAGCAAGCAAACTTTCATTTAGATAGTAGTATAAGCAGAGTCATTAGCAGATACAAGATATAGTATACGAAAAACTACTGGAAATTGAATCAGAACTTAGTTCATCAAACCTCAAGGAGATTGGGGCCAATCATATCCAGCATCCACGGCATTTAAGTCATCGTAAAACCACATTTCCACATCCTCCACATGTTCCTCGTCTTCCCAGTAGCCATCAGACATCTCATCATCGTCAAAGTCATCATCAATGTCACCAGCCACGAAGTCCCATGGTATATAACCAGAAGAACCTGAATAGTCCGAGCAGTTGTCCCAGCC